AAAATTGCTTAACTTACAACTATATTTTTTCTTTATTCAAGATCTCATATTCTCTCTTTTACATGTACATACATAAATGATAAGCAACTCATTTAATTTCAAACAACTTAAACTCATAAGTGAGATAAAAAAAATAATATTTTATTATTAAGCAAAATGCGATGAACCCTGCGCTACAGCTTCACAATGGAGCTATATACGTAGTACATACACTAGCATGGACCATCTTTAGAAAACTATCAGTATTATAATATTGATCCAATTAATAGAATTGGGTAGGAAATTTCTGATTTTGGGTTATCAAAAACTTGTTTGATTCTGGACCCAACTCACGTGAACACAGCTAGTGATGAAGGGTAGCCCTTGGTTATTTAGATATCTATAATGAAGGCAATAACTTAGCCGAAATATTTGTTGTACACTCTTTTGGGGCAACCCCAGCACTTAATGCTGCTTTGACACAATAACTAGTTGGCTTAGCAGATTCATCAAATAATGGGACTGTATAGGCATTAGCTAGGTACCTATGATATTATATATATAATGAAATGTTATGATTTATTCAATTCATATAATGTTTTTAGTTACCGATGTAAAATGTTAAAAATAAAAGATAGTAAAAATACAATTAAGAATATTCAACATGTACTCGGATGCTGTTCCATTTGAAATAACCAGACAAGTTTGGTACAAACATGCATGAAACATAAATTCTATTTTGGAGTGTTTATATTTCCTAGGTTTGGAAAATATCATAGATGCTAGCCTTAAATAGGAAAAAGTACCATGTCCAGATTTTTTAATTTTAATTTTTAACTATGAAACAGTCCAGGCCATAACTGTGTGATTGACTATCACTTTAGGTGCTTTTTTGGCAAATTAGAGTTTAATTTTAGAAACGGATTCTAACTTTTTAACTTTTTATGGGTACAATGGATTAGGATTTCGATAGATCTTAAAAGAATTTTTTATTATAAAAAAGTCTTAATAGTATTTAATTATTAAAAGTTTTATTTTAATATAAAAAAGTGATGTGATATTCTATTAAAATAATTAAAAAAAATTAAGAATATATTAAAATATTGTAATATTTAATTAAAAATTTTTCTTACTTAAATAAGTTGATTGGTATTAAAATAATATAAAAATTTTAATGAATTATTTTGAATATTGAATTTTGTGAAATTTTTTAATATAATTTATATGTAATTCACTCATCAAACAATCTTATTAAAAATTTTAAAATTTCACATAATTTTTTCTTTTATTTTTAATATTTATTTATTTTTTCTTTGTTTAAATATTTTCTCTCACCTTTCATGCTTTTCTCTCATATTATTTTTTTTGTTTAAATATGTTTTTAGTCCCTCAAATTTAAGACTTTTTTTTTGTCCTTCAAATTTAAAATTGTTGCTTTTAGTTCCTGTAATTTTTAAAAATATTGTTTTAATCTCTTAGGTCACCAATAACATATTTGAAAGTGACTAATTAAGACAATTATACAATATCAATCAAATTTAATGTGATATTTTCACTAATAAAAATACCAATAGGTAGATTTTATGTAATAATGTTTGATAAATTTCTTAACAAAATTTGAATCTAAAGACTAAAATAAGATTTTTTGAAATTATAGGAACTAAAAATAATAATTTTAAATTTAACGGATCAAAAATAGATTTATCATAAATTTGAGGGACTAAAAATATATTTAAGCCTATTTTTTTTCTCTTCTTTCTCGCCATCCCTGTTTTTTTTTTTTTTCTCTCTCTCTCTTTATTATCTCATTTTCTCTTTTTCTTTCTTTTCTTCTCTCTTATATATCTCCTCCTCCTCTTCTTTTTCTTCTTTTTTTTTTTTCATATTTTTTCTCTCTCTCATTCTCTCTAGTCTTTCGCATCAATTTCTCTATCTTTTTTCTCTTTTTTATTCATCTCTTTTATTTATCTCTTCTTATTATTCTCATATTTTTTATCTATAATTTATTAATATTTATTTTTAATTATTAAATATTTAAAATATTTTTTATATTATTAAATATTATCTATTGTTAAAATTTTTAAATTATTAAAATTTAACTGTTTATTTTTATAAAATTTAATATTAAAATATAAAATTTTGAAACCTATATTAAAAGACTTTGTAAATCATGGTAATGACCTCCAAAATGAAAATGAAGTTTTTAATTTATGTCATGTATCTTTAAAAAATGTGATTAATTTTTTTTTAATATTTTTGAATCAAGCTTCATGATTTTTAAGTAAGAGCCTCTATTTCTATTTAAGACACTAACCAAAATTGTATTAACATGTAACATTACATAATTTTTTTCAAAAAAATTATCATTCTAATAAATTTTCAATTGAATTAGTTGATGAATCTTCATTTTCAATATTATAAGTTAATGAATACTATAATTTTAAACATATTATTCAGGCTCGAGTGCATAAAAGATAATATGTTAATGCATTGACTAGTATAACTTTAGATATGTAAAGAAATGTTAGGTAGAAAGATATTAAAGCCAATTATCAAAAGATAAAGATAATTATTTATAAAAAAAATAAAAAAATTATGTTAGTTTTACTTTTCTTTCTTATTTATATTATATATATTTTTATTAAATTTTGTAGTACCGTAAGTCCATTTTTTAATATCAATTTTAGTTAGGATAACATTTTTTTATATACATTTTCTGTTCTTACCTTGAATCAAGGGAGCAATGTATCATATTATTGGCTGATACTCATATTACAACATGATACTTGTTTCTCTCTTTCACGAATTTGTAGTTACTTTCCTCCCCTATTTCTCGTACATGTAAAGTTTGAAAGGAAGTGAGAGAAAAGGGTGTCAAATATTAACATTTATTTATTTTTGTTTCACCTAACAGATTTAGTAATTGCTAAATTTGATGAGTAATTGCGTGCTACCTACAATGGGTGGATAAGTAAGAGCTAGAGATGCGATCAAAATGTACGTGTAAGTAGCAGTGTCTAATTACTTTTGTTTTTTGTTGAATGTTGTCATTTAATAATAATAAAAGACAAAGTTAAGTCATTAAACTAGCAATAGCATTGCATGGAAAAGGCTAAAAAAGTTAACCAGAAGTACTAATAGTTTGAATCCTAAACTTATTGCTGAACGCTGACACACAACCACCTTTGGAAATTAAGATAAATGAGGGAGACACCTCTTTTTGTGATTGCAGGGTTTAGTCATTTTCTCATCTGTGTGTTTCTTTTCTCATCTTATGCACAAGTCAACGTGAATTTGAATTTCACATTAATTATTTAATGCTAATTATAATATAATATCAAATTCATTTATATAGTATATTCATTTACTAAGTACATATTTGCATTCCATTTATAACGTGAAAATTCACGTTTACTTGAATTAAAAAAATCTTGCTTGTACGTAAATATAACATTGGACGTAGAAAGAGAATGCATAATCCGCGTTTCAAAATGAAATCCAAACATGCACTAAGTGTGTGTTTGGATTTGCGTTTGAAGATTTGATTTATCAAAATCAATTTTCTGGACGCAGAAGCTATATTTTTCAGCTTCAACTAAAATCATTTCACCTTTAAAATTATGTGATGAAAAAAAATTCAAACATCCTTTCTACACGAGGAATCACGTTTTTGCACGAAAATACGCACGTTGAATCAATTCAAGGCGTATCCAAACAGGCACTAACTCTCCCATCCAACACTGTGTATGTACTAAACTTGAAGAACAATTCACATAATCAACACAACACAACCGTCTCTACTCTCTACTCTCTATTCTTCCCTATGCCTAGGCACACTGCACCATGAATTAATGTCAATGATGCAGAATTAGATTAATTCAACATTAATAATTTAGAATCCAAAGTTAGCAACATGAATTAATGAATTAGATTAATTCAACATTAATATTTTAGAATCCAAAGTTAGCAATATTAGATTTTTTATGCGGTAAATAAGTAAAAGAATTTACAAATTTTAGTCATTTATAATCATGATTTTCAGGATTCCTATTATTAAGATCGTAATTTTTATGTATGATTTTTTTTCGCTTCTCTTAAATAAAGTAATATACTAAATTTATCTTTGATTTTTTTTTTCTTTCTTTTAAATGATTTCTAAAGTAAAAAAGATACTTAAGTAATTTTCAAATTTTTAGAAATTTTATGCAAAGTAGTTTCTAAATATTAAAATATTCTTCAAATTGATTCCATAGTTTTACTGAAAATTTAGGTATTAATATTTCAGCGATTACTGAAACGCTTTTATTATTATAGGAACCACTTAAAAGAGAGATTAATAGTTCCTAGAAGAAATTGAAAATTTATTCATAAAATTAATATGACATGAATTTTATGCGAAAGATAAAATTAATATTTTTAACATAAACATTGGTCGTTATAAGTAAATGAAAAACTATAATTTATTTAATTATTAAGATATTTTATTTTATTAATATAAAATTAAAAATGAAAAGTAAAAAAACTATAAAAATAAAATGTAAGTGTAAAAAATAATACAACAATACTCAAAATTATAAAACCAATCTTTTAATTCTTAAATTTATCAATTGATAATTCTTTTATTACTAAAATAAAAAATAATAAAAGAAAACTAAGGTGACAGATATTTAATAAATTTAAAAATTAAAATAAGATTTTTTTTTTTATAACTTTAAAGAGTAAATAAATCCTTTTTTTAGACTAATTTCAGAAAGGTTCATAAAGTATCAAGAAGAATGCTTGTCTTTAACACACAGGGCACACTAACAATACCACTATTATTTTAAAGTGTATTCCATGTCATATGCAGCTATAACCACAGAAACATTTTCTTAACTTTAACATTCCAACATTCCCAATGAAATGGAAATTCTCTTTTGAGGGATTGGAGTCTCTAGTCATTGTATCATTGAATAGTAGCTTAACAAATGTACATTTACATAGAAAAAATGAGAGTCGGAGCTAAAGCAAGAGTGCAATGGTTAATATCAACAAGGTGGTGTTATCATTTTTGGAAGTCTATGCTTTCTCATTCTACTTTTAAACATATATTTTGGACTCAGCAAAATTTGGCACTCTTAAAAGCAAGAGGGTACATGAAGGAATTGGAATATGTGAATCTGATGATCTGAGTAGAGGCTAAAGGGTTCCCTCTATTCACCAAGCAATCATCATATGAGAGCCTCTTGAACAATCTGGGGTTCACTATTCTTGCAGAAGCAAACCAGCCACAGTGGAGGTGGATGTCAAAAGGAGCACATCCAGAAACACAGGTGTTAACAATTTGCACAATGAACTGTGGTATTCCTGATGTAGAACTTTTGCTTTGTGAGATGCTTATGTCTTTGCTTGTGCAAGAACCTAATGTGATCATGATCAAAGCCACGGTCAAAATGGAGCCAAAAAAAAAATAAAGAAAGGAAAATATTTTTTTCATCTCAGTTGGAGAAGTAAAAGCATGTTTGGATCAACATCACAAAATCACATCAATAGGTTCAATTGATTCTGAAGCAACTTATTGTTTCTGTTGAACGTGGAAAGATAGCGATAATCCGTGTTGTAGATTTGGTTCCAAACACGCACTAAGACTACAAATAGAGAAATTTCACACATATACATACCATGCAACCAAATTTTTCTAGAGGCAGAATATGCATGTTCTGCTTTCACTGACACTGTTATGGACCCGTTTCTGTCTTCACGGAAAGAATTCAAAATATGTGCTGAAGATCCTGCCAACATTATACTAGCTTAAGGGTGACGGGAAGAATAACGATCATTAGAGAAAAAGCCAAAGGCAAGAGGTTCTGTTTTTGTACCTGAATGCATTCCCTCATCACTAAATACAAAAAGGGGCATCATGAAGCACACGAAGATGATATGAAGAAAAGAGTTTGTGATGGTCATGTTAATTGCAGAATGCTGCTATGACTATCTTTCTCTGTTTTTCTGCGTCACAAACAAGTACTCAATCTCAAAATCAAAAGATTTTAGGAATGAATTTTGAAGGTGCGAGAGGGGAGGGGGATTTGTAGGGTTGGTGACCCTTACCTAGTGCTACATGTACAAGAATGCTAAGATTGGCGTGCAAATTTTAAGTACACTCAGGGGTTGAGGTCCCCGTTTTATGCTGACATCTAATCTAATAAGATCACATTCGACATAGAGTTATCTATTATGTGTCAAATTTGATTATGACACTACAAATTTTATAATGAAATTAAAAATTGATAATGAGAGATTTATATTTTCTTACCTGCAGTAAATGGATTATGGAGACAGAAATTAACTACACCTGAAGGATTCTGAGAAAAAAACTGTACGTCATACTAAAATTGACAGTAGGCCACGTGAAAATTTATTTTCCCTTTATCCTAAGCAGTCAAGAGATTATTGCTTGGGGTATATATTTTATTGATTATTCTTCCTAAGTGGTTATTTATGTTGGTATCAAAAGGTTGAAGGGAAATAAAGAAACGACTTTGTTGGTCAGAAAGTAAATTCCTTTTCTCTGTTTCCACATTCACAGCCTAAGGTTCATGGTTTGTTCAAATTCCAATATTCAGTTTTTACCTTTTCTTACCCTTCAGATTTTACTTTGAGATGGGTATGGAATCTAGAGAAGGGAGGGGACAAAGCACCATGACTTCTAAGCTGTAAGAAGAAAGTTACAGGGAAGCAAGTCAGAGGAAAGCAGGAACTTGTAAAATTTCTTCTATTCTTCCAATTGAATGATCAATTTCCACTTTTGTTTCACCTACGTATTATTATAGACCTCAGGTAACGTACCATTCATTAATGGCATGCATGCATATGTAGACAAGGTTGCATACATCATGCACATCTCATTTCCCTTCTCTTCTTTTCTAGTATGTATTAGAGAATTTATATCGATTTATGATATAACAAGAAAATAATGTATATAAAATTGATTTTATAAGTCTTATATAGTGAAATTAATTATTTTTTAGTTCAGGAATCGAACTTCTCTTAACATGTTTAAGAACTCAACTTAGATTCGGTTTGGTTGGTTTTCACTTCTCTTCTATTGTAAGTTATGAAACCCTTTTGGCTAGCATTGTGTGTGTGTGTTTTTTTTATTTTTTATTTTTTTATTTTATGTATGCATATGTGCGTATCGACCCTGGACAAACTATGCCATAATTAAATATTTATTACTCAGAAGACGCACGTGAAAAGAAGATACAAAACCACTTTGCAGGTACATTTGATAGTGGAAGAAAGAAGGTCTATATAACTCAGCAACTCTGGTAACAAAATGTGATTGAATGCTGCCTCTAAAGTGAAACCTCAATTTATTCAACATTCATGCAACAGTTGTAAGTCACTGTTACGTTGCCAAAAGACAAAGCCGCGTTTTTACCGATATTTGCAAAGAACAGGTAACATGTTTCTTTCTACGGTTCTCAGAGGCACATGTTGCGGGTTCGTATACCCTTTGGATTCAGCTACCACTTTCTTGTTCTGATAGATATCATAGAAGAATCACTATGAATGTGAATTTATTAGTGTGCAGAATATAGTAACCTAAGGTTTTGGAGGAGAGCCAGCCCATACTGTTCGTGCATGTATGACCAACCATGTGCTGGAATTTAATAGCTGCAGCCACTTTAAAATTTCACAGCTTACTAGGTAGCCCTCGTTTATTTATACATAATTAGAAAAATAATTTGACGTACAAGTATATTATATTGAATAATAAACTCAATTATTATTAGTTATTACACAAATCTATGGGAAATTTGCTCCTTTGGTCTCTCCCTATCATCTTTTTTATTATAAAATTACACGGATCAATCCGTTATGCTCGTAGCCTTATTTTCTACAAAGGTGTTGCGTACCAAACATATATTATTGAATAAACTTTCCTAATTTGTATTTGACCCCATTTTAATTAGTGTGGTATCTGAATGTAGGGTCAAATATAAATCAAGATGGCTAAAGTTATTTAGATTTGAATCCTTTAAACGAGGAACAGAAAATAAAGTATTTATTCATGAGTCAATCATTGAATAAAAATATAATTAACGTTGAATATTGTAAGAAAAATATAGTAGTAATAATAATAATAATAATAATATTAATAATAATAATAAATTTCAAGTTATTTATGATGTTAACCATTAATTTTTTAATTAATGTTATTTTTTTACTTAATTTAGAGTATATTCTTTTCTAACGAGATCTCTAGATTTCAGTTAGTTGATCGAATATGTGAATATTATAAATTCTTTAATATTACGTTGGATTATGTTAGATATTCATAATTTTAAAAGGCCATATATACTTTATATATAATATTAGATTGTTAGTAAGTAGTTAAGATTGTTAAACTGAAATTGTGACCTCGAATGGAACTGGTTCTACACAACATCAAGATGCTTCTTAAAATCCTAACATTCCCTATTATCTTTATCATGGAGAAAAACCAGGGTATATTCTTGTTGCCCCATTCTTTCTTAATGGTTTACAATTAGAGTAATCATGTTCATGAAAAGAGCCCTCTTTTCCAAAAATGAACACAAGATTACCATTGGTGATCTTCCTCAACCTACAAAATTTGATCCTAACTTTGAACTATGGGAAAGATTCAACAATTTGGTTGTATCTTGAATTGCCTTGACTTTTTTCTCTTACATTTCTCAAACACCATATGTATTTATAATGCTTGTGAGATTTGGTTAGATTTACAAGAGAGATTCACCAAGGGAAATCACTTTTGGATGTAAAATCTCCTTCAAGAACTTCATTCAATGAAACAAGGTGACAATTCTTTATCCACCTAATTTACAGATCTGGAAATCTTATGGGATGAACTAGAACATCTAAGAACTACACCACCTCTTGCACATGCTAATTAGATTTTTGCACTTGTTATCTAAGCAAATATAATATGCCAAAACATTAAAGCAAATTGAATAGGTCATTCTCTTTCTTAAAAGACTTGATGAAAATTATAATCATGGGAGAACTTAAATTCTTTCTATTAATGACTCCTTATTATCCACCAACTAGGCATTTTCTATGTCTATGAATAGGGATAACAAATTGGGTCAATTTGGTTCATTTAAATCTAACTTGCTGTCAATCCGTAAAAAAATAAACTGGGTCAAGCTACCAAACAAATTAAAATGAGTTAGACACTTTGATCTATCTTGCCTTAGGGCGAGTTGGTGAATTGATGGGAAATTTTTTTTTTTTTAAAAAAGAAAAAAAAAATAAAAGAAGTTTGCATATTTATTTTAAATACCTCATGTAGTATATTTATCTCTGTATCTAAAGGATCCATATAAATTAATATAGTTCAATAATAAAATATATTTCAAATTACAACAAATTTAGTTTGATTTGTTGCACTACAAAACTTAAATTTTCTACATATTAAAATAAATATATAATTATAATAACTCTACCAACAAATTTGTTATACAATAAATATCAAATTACATGTAATAAGATATATCAAATGTACAACAAATTTACCGTAAAGTAAATCACAATAACACGTGACTTAGTTAAACTTAACAATAAAAATAATAAATAAAGGTTAGGGCAGACTCGGAGGCCAACGTCTCGACCCACCATTTGGCTTAGTGGACTTTCAGGTTAGGTGAGGCGAACCAAATAAGTTAGGATGCCTAACCCAATCCATCAAAGTTTGGTGGACCATCGTGACTTGTTTTACCATCCTTATCCATGTAACATGGAATACAACCACATACATCTTCAACTGAGTTTACTACCTTTGTTGCTAATTCCAACAACTTTTTTTGGCAAAGCAGGGGAAATAATGTAACACTTTTCAGAAAATAAAATAAATTGAAAAAATTGGTTATATGTTTTCAGAAATTAATTGATTAATTAATTTGAATTACGTTGAATATTTATTTATTATAGAGTGAAAAGTGATTTTGAAAATTTAAAATAATTTATTTGAGTTTTAATTAAATATTAATTAATTGATTGAAAATTTTTTTTTCAATAGTTGTTGGGTTTTAATTAAATAAAAACACTACAAAATAATTATTATGTCACACATCCTATAAAGACATAATATTTGTAACTAAAAATTACTTTTACTTACACTATAGATACAATATATGTTGATATATTTTTTAAAAAAAAAATTAGTATAGACTATAATAACACACAATATATGCTTTGAATTTTATTCAAAATCAACACTAAATTTGTGGGTAACTATCACTAGTACAAAAGAGATAATTTACATCGATTATTTTAAGCTTTTTACGTCAGAAAAAAGTTCGACGTTAAAGCGGGAGACGTAAATTTACGTCGGTTGTGAAATCCAACATAAATTTACGTCGGAAATTGCCAAGATCCGACGTAAAAAAGTTGTAAACAAAAAAAAACATAACGGCCGTTTTGCTTGATAGAACAATCTAAAAGAAAAGGCCAACAACCCAAACAAATAGAACAACATAAAGATCGAATAGAACAAATAGTCACAATAGCAATGCGAAGCAAAAAGGTGTTAGCGATTCATACCTGAGCTGCAACAATGTGCGAACGAGTAACGAAGAGTTTATCCCACTCTACAGAAGATAGAAAAAATGATTTAGCAATAAAGGAGAGGGAGAAGGTTTATACAGAAAAGAATCTAGAAAAGTGATGAGATCCGAGTGAGTGTGTGCGTGCGTGTGCCTCCCATGCACTCTTTTTATTCACTTTCGCTACTTTTTTTACGTCAGACCTGATAGGGTTTGACGTAAAATGTAAAATCTACGTTGATTGTATGTTGTGTTCGACGTATATTTTACATTTTACGTCAGACCCTACCAGGTCTGACGTAAAAAAGTTCACAAAAATTACAAAAATGCCACCGCATCTTTTTTACGTCGATTTTTTTTAAGTTCGATGAGAAAGAGGTGACATAAAAGCCTCGTTTTCCACTAGTGTATATGTCAAATAAATTTATATCTACATATATCGTATCTATAGTAATGCTTTTTGTATTATTATATGTAACATTTCTTGTAGTGAAAGAATTATAAAATAGAATA